ATGAAGAAAAATGAAGAAAAATGAAGAAAAATTAAGAAAAATGAAGAAAAGGGAAGAAAACGGAGGAAAGAGTTTGAAAAAGGAGGAAAAAGAAAGATAAGGAAGAAAAAGGAGGAAAAAAGAAGGAAAAGAAAAGAAAAATAAAGAAAAAGGAAGAAAAAGAAAGAAAAAGGAAGAAAAAGAAAGGAAAATGAAGAAAAATGAAGAAAAATTAAGAAAAATTAAGAAAAATTAAGAAAAATTAAGAAAAATTAAGAAAAATTAAGAAAATGGAAGAAAAAGGAAGGAAAAGGAAGAATAAGGAAGGAAAAGGAAGAATAAGGAAGAAAAAGGAAGAAAAATAAAGAAAGCGGAAGAAAAAGAAAGAAAAATGAAGAAAAATTAAAAAGGAAGAAAAATATAGAATAACAAAGAAAGAGGAAGAAAAGGAAGAAGAAGGAAGAAAAATGAAGAAAAAGGAAGAAAAATTAAGAAAAAGGAAGAAAGGTGTAGGAAAAAGGAAGAAAAGGAAGATAAAGAAAGAAAAAGAAAGAAAAAAGAAATAATGAGGAAGAAAAGGAATAAGAAGGAAGAAAAATTAAGAAAAAGAAAGAAAGGGGTAGAAAAAAGAAAGAAAAAGAAATAAATAGAAAGAAAAGGAAGAAAGAAAAAAGGAAAAAGGAAGAAAAGGAAAAAAGTAAAACATCTAATTATTCGGTGGTTTTTTGCTTATAAGTCGAAAGGTTTTCGTATATAACCTTCCCATTAAAAATGAAAGTACTTATATAACCTCATTGAAATCAGTGGTAGCTGCCGCTAGCAAACATGGAATAGAAGACACCATCTGCTGGTAGATAGAAGAAATGCTAAGTAGACGGCAAGTATAGACATATGTTCAATGACACCATGCAGGTGAGTATCCACAGGGGACGCCTACATGGTGGAGTATCTTCTACCGTGGAACCTAGTGGCAGATGAACTGCTGAAAAAAACTGAACAATCAAGGCTGGTATGCCCAAGGATACACCGATGATATAGTCACTCTTATTTGAGGGAAATGCCAAACAACAGTCTTCGAACTCTAAGGCTGACATAAATTTGAAGCATTAGAGAAAACCTCTTTATAAACCCTGACAAGGTACAACTCATAGCCTTTGCTCGAAAAACGGGGGTTAAGGTCTTAAAAAATCTGACTCTGGAGGAAGGCTAACAGAACAAACTCAGTAAAATATCTGGGTTTACTCCTAGGTATCAAACTTACTTTAATTCAACACTTACAAAGAGTGACCAACAAATTTAATGTAAAATGTCTCATTGTAGGGAGCCGATAATTTGAAAAAAAAAAAAATGAAGATTAAAACTAGAAATGGTCTACTGGCTATATTGACCAATATTAAGACCTATTGGTGGGCAAAAGTAAACTATAAAACAATCCTTAATACCCTCTCAGGTTAACAGAGGCTGGCATGCCTTTGTATTACAGAAGCACTGAGAAGTACTCCCGATAGTCCCTATAGCCACCCCTTGATCTAGTCATAAAGAGGTAAGCTAAATGAGTGCATGCATGCTGTATATCTCTCTAACAACTGGGAAATATAATATATCAGAATAACACAAGGTAAATAATCTCATAATAAACATGGGATCAGATCACATGACACCCCTCTAATCTTTAACAGATTTTCTCAGGACAACTGCATCTGGTAAAGTAAGAAGGTAGAGAAATATTTGCTTAGCGGTCTCCTATTCTATACGGATTGGTCTAAAACTAACAAGGGAACATGTCCTGACGACATCACTGTCCAACTGAGAAAAAATTAAACTGTATTTCAAGCTGAAATACATGCAATCGAATTATGTGTACATTTAATAAGGAAGTACAAAAAAAATATCTTAATTCTTTTAGACAGCCAAGCAGCCTTAAAGGCACTTGTTTCAAACAATCAAGTCAAAGCTGGTCTGGAATATTGACAACCCACAATAAGGTAAAACTAGGACATAGATGTTTCCTAAAAAATAAAAAGGATGATGAACTCGCTAAAGAGGAATCAGAACTACCATTCACAGAACCTCTATTTGAGATAAGCAAAACCTTTGCTCGACAGGTAGTAAACAGGTGGATAACCACAAAATACCAAATTCACTGTCAACAGATAAAAGGAAACAGAATCAGTAAACTTTGCTGAGAAGACCAAACTCACGCATGGCTGCTGAGGGGACCAAACCGACGCATGGCTGCAGAGAATACCAAACTCACGCATGGCTGCTGAGGTACTACAGCTGGCAAGGTGTCAGATATTCCCCGTTGTGGGATTATTAACTGGTCACGGCTTGCTGAAACATCTTTATGTGATTGGATTTAATAATGATTCCACCACATTGAAGAGGAAGAAAACTCATACCATATTATCTTCGAATGCAAAGCTCTTGCTTAGCGGCGACTCACCCTTTTTGGTTTAAAACCGGAAAGAATCCCTCAGGAACACTTGGTAGGGAACTTAGTAAAACTAACCAAAGCCACAGGACTATTCCACAGATAGTATCTGAATACGAGGAAAGCAGCGGAATACAATAGACCTAAAAGGCCGTAGTTTTCTGGGTTAAATCCAACCCTATCTGCTTGTAACCCAAAAAGATAATGATACAAATTTTCTACAAATTTCATAATTTACGTATTTTAGAAATTTGGCGTACTTTGGCCCTTTCCGCAAAAACCCATTTTTTATCTCCAGAACTTTTATAAAAGGTCGTCATTTACTGAATACTTGCTCATTTTAGATTAAATATAATGAAGACTCTGGTTTCAACTGTTATGCCACCTCCAGTACAAAAAAAGGTATTTTTAAAATCACATTTAAATTCCGTGTTGATATAAGATGGAACCCACGAAAGACATCATTGACATAGATGAAGAAGAGGACGAAGAGATACGATATGGAAGGTGTGTCTTTCACAATCAATTTAATAATTATTATTCATCTTTTCTCGAGATATGATCACAAGTTGTTGTTTTCTAACCAACTCCTTTATTTTCCAAATAAACAAGTCCCTGACGAGATGATATAACAACCCGACTTTGCTCCAGGACCCTTTAAACAACAACGGCTCATATAATTTTTCCTCATTTAATAATGTAATAAATGTATAATCATAATATTATCTTGAATAATTTTTCAAGATTTTTCGTTGGAACTTTTTTGTAACTAAAGGACCCTACACTTTTTACATTGATTTTGGTTACTGTCAGAATTTGTTCAAATTTTAGAATGTTATTTATGATTTCTTTAAAGGGAACTTACTTATGGACCTCAAGTAGGCAAATTTACTTACACTTCACAAAATAAATCATACGGTGCGTTCAGAAAATTAGGAATATCAGTTACTGTAATAAGGTGCATTTTTCATGTATTACCATAGTTAGAAGATGACTTCTGACCATTTTTTTTGTAGATAATTTTCATAAGTAGTACAGGGTGTAATAAAGCTACGTAAACAACTAAGAGTTACAAAACTGCATTTAATAAAAAACTTGGTATACCTAACAAATTGTAGAAAGTCTTGGAACGAATTCAGTTTTGCTCATACTGTAATCATAGTTCTTTTTAAATAACTAAATCGTATTTTCTACGCCTACTTACTTATAGAAATAATTCTACTAACTCTGACTTAAATGAATGACTGAGAAGACATAGCAAAGGCTTATATACAATACAGATATCAGCTTATCATTTTACTTCTAATTATATTTCTCTTTTTGTAGATTTAGTATAGTAATTTTAGTTAAATTAAAACATAAAAAAAACCTTTTACAGTTTTTTCAGTAGTTAGTAATATTTAAAAACTTGATGATATTTACTCCTGGCCATTTTTGATTGTTTAGATATTTCACACCACTACATATCTTGCTTTAGATTATTTTCTAAGCCTATGACATAACTTTTTTTATTTCTTTGTTTAATAATCAGAATAATTAAAAAAGGATTCTATAAGGTAAAAGGTTGGCGAGTGTTAGATTAAATAACAACTAAATTATCATGATGGGGTTGTAATCTTTGCAATTTCAGACTACATTTGCTGCGTTTGTTTATCCATATCGTATCTGAGAGGTTGTGAATCTTTGATGACGTGATTTAAGAGACGGAAATGAAGTAGGAGCAGATGCATCCGATGTGGATAAACAAACGTTCGAGAGGTAAAAATCGGATGTAGATATTCAAACGTAGCAGTTTTATTTTACATTGTAGGTGTATTTTCTTCTTCTTTTTTTGACTGTTATTAAGAACAATTTCAAAAGTTTATTATTAGGAATTTTTTAAGAGTAGGTAGTTTATTTTTTAATATATTCGAGATTTGCTAATACTTTATTTAGAATACAATAAAATTCAAGAAATTCCCATTACTAGATTTTACTGTGCCCATATTTCAAATGTTTTGTGGTACCTGGAATATGCACGATTCGACAATTATATAAAGTACTTTTCAAGTGTATTTTAGATGCTACTGAAAGATAAGTCAAATTTTGAAGGTGTGTAAATAGTTATTGTATGTAATAAAACAGGTTTTTAAAAATACAGTTTTACATTGATTTAAAATTAGGTGGGAAAAATCTATGTAAAGAAACTATTAAGTATTTTTTTGTAAATAATAGTCTCTAACACACCCTGTATTAATAATTAATAATATTTAGTATTTAATATAACAATTATGTGATCAAAAGTTATGTTCTAATTATTATAGTAATACATGAAAAGGTACCTTTTTTCAGTAATTAATATTCCTATTTTTTTGAACACTCTGTATGATTTATTTTATAAGTGTGACACATTCAATAAGTTTCATAAAAAAAACATGAATTAATTAAGAGTGGTAGAGATATAAATGAAAATATGAATTCTACACTTTTTATATTTGACTCCTTGTAACAGCTCACCCTGTAGAGCTGCAAATTTCAGATCCACAAGAAAGTTACCCAGTATGACCAGAAAAGTAAAATACTAAAAATTAAATAAATTCTGACAGTACCTTTGTGCTATTTCGGACTTTAAATAACAAAACACCCAAATAAGAATCACATAGAATCGAAGATATCAAAACTACCTCACAGCTTTGCTGGTAAAATCACAATTTCACTGGATTGTAGTAAATACTTAAATATATTATTCTACATTAATTTCACAATCCTGTATTATCTGTTAGTATTATCTATAGGAAGTACAAAAATGATTTATAAAATTATTTGCGTAAACGTTTTATCTATTTATTTGTTCAACAGATTTGGCATCGTGGTAGGGCTAAACTTATCTGGTACCGATGTTTATTGATTCTTAAATGCATTAAATCATTTTAGTGTTCCGAAGTGAGTAGGAATATTGGACCATTTTAACTTTGCATTAGGTTAGTTTTTGGAATTTTTCGTAGTTTATGACTATGAACTTACGAGAAATTTTGTTTAAAAAATGCTCACATTCTTCTTTATCCTTTTTAATTAATTTGAGACTTTCAAACCTTTTTTTATTTAAGATATATGTTACGCTTTGATACAAACCTTCAAAAAATAAAAATTTATGATAGGACTATTTAATAGAGTAGTATTTTATTGTAAGAGTAATTTTGGATTTTAAATTTTTTATTAATTGAGCTTTATTGTTTTAGAAGCACCTATGATGATATGGAGGTAAACGAAATTGATTGCCTAGAATGAGCCCGACGAAGACCGAAACAAAAAGAGGATGCGTCCGACCGCCACATTTCGATATACTGTAAGTATTCATTATTATTAAAAATTTGCGTTTGGAATAGCATGTGTTCAATTGACTGATATTGTTTACATATCCTAATCGGTAGGGTAAACGTTTTTATGAACATTTTTTTGACACCTTAAACTAGTCTTCTGGACTAACCAATAATCTTATACTAAAGCCCATCCATAGATCTTCATTAGATTGGTCTGATTACTATACATGGTTCTGATTGTCCACACCGAGAAAAATATCTAATAACAGTTAGTCGATATCAAATAACCCTTAATAGATATCTGGATACTAGTCCAGTCATTTAAGCTTAAATTAGGTAAGAATCTCGGAATTCGAGATACCCAGCTGTAAGTCTGTAAATACTTGTATATTGACACCCTAAAAGTTGTCTTAAAACCTACATATGGTAGGGTGTACGCAACTATTAAATTTCAAGGTCAAAGGTCACAAAAAACGTTTTTTTGCGCTTTTTTTTGTAAATATCTCATTTCCTATGGGTTTTTTGCTATTTGTATTTATTATCAATATTGTGAGGAAATGGAGAAGTTCTGTAATCTCCTTGGAGTCGACCGAGCAACACGTAGATTCCAGAGACTCAAGAGTGAAAAAAGACAATACTGACGTAAATATACTATTTGATTGGTTTAAACTCCATGATCCGTTTTCAAATTAAATCAAAGTTAAAATCGATAGCTTCTGGAATTGTTGGAAATGAGCAAATTAACTGCCATAGGGCTTACGAAATTGGATTAAAGTCTATGAAGAACATCACCGGCTTATCATTTAATGAAATAAAGTTGAAACGTTCCGAAAAAGTAATGCCGCTTTCCAGTGTTAACAAATCTGTAAAAATAAATGATTTTAAAGTTGCAGTGGATCCATTATTACTCTTCCAAAGAATTACTGTCAGCAAACAATTTGAAAGTAATCTTGAAGAATATCTTCAATATGAATTGAGTCCGTATCCAACAGCTCTATTTGATAATGATGGCATGAGAAAAACAACAAAATCGTCATTGTATGACAATATGAGCCCAATTGATTTTGTTCTCAATGAAAATAATGTGACGTTCATTATTGATGGCGGATTTCTTCTTCATCATGTTGTATGGTGCAGAGAAGATAATTTTTCTATTATTTTTGATAAATACATGAATTATTTACAAAGGCATTACAGTTCCAAAATATTTGTTGTATTTGACGGGTATTCAGACTACAGTAAGAACGTAAAAGCTATGGAGCAGCAGAGAAGAACTGCTGCACTTTCAAAAACGTATGAAGTCTGTTTCGATAAAACAATGGTTGTACCAGTTACTCAAGAAAAACTCTTATCAAATCGAAATAACAAAGATATGCTCATTAATATGTTAATTGAAAAATTACAAGCTGCAAATATTACTACTAAACAAGCTAGAGATGATGCGGATGTTCTTATTGTTGAAACTACAATTGAAGAATCAGTCTGAAAAAGCTGCAGTTATAATAGGACAAGATATTGATTTACTTGTCATTTTAATTGGGCGTACACTGTCTTACGAACAAGAAATTTTCTTTAAAAAAGTTGGGAAAGGAAATGTAAAAACGGAGATATACTCGACTAAAAGTTTTGATAGTTATCCTCATTCCAAAACGCATATCTTATTTCTGCACGCATTAAGTGGCTGTGACACAACTTCTGCGCTTTTTAAAAAGGGAAAAAAATAATTTTTAAAAGTTTTTGAGAAACTGACAAATTTGGAAGAAAATTGTTCGGCCCAGAGATTATTAGAAAGTGGAACTCAAACCTTATTAGCAGTCTATAATGCTTCGAAATCTGTGAAAAGTCACGATCATCTTCGTTATATGCATTACGTCAAGTCTACAAAACTTAATAAACCTGTGCAGCTTTCAAATATTCCACCAACAAGTGCAGCTGCTCATCAACATTTCAAACGTGTATATTATCAAGTTCAAACTTGGTTAGGGCATGATTTGGAACCCCAGGTATGGGGTTGGGCAATGCGAAACGATTTTCTGGAGCCTATCATGACAATTTTACCACCTGCTCCAGAAGATTTGCTAAATACAATTTTCTGCAACTGCAAGAGTGGTTGTGGTTCGCGATGCGGATGCATGAAAGCAGATTTGCAATGCTCTTTAGCTTGTGGCCAATGTAATGGGCAAGCTTGTCTCAATGCTCTACCATATCAGAGCGACATTAACGAAGATGGAGCCTTTGACCCCGAAATCATGGAAGAACTTGAGACAAATGTCGTTGAAGACGATAATGAAGACCAGTTTGAAATTTACCAGCAGCCGGAAGACGACGATGAAGAGGAAGAAGATGATTAAAATTATAAATTATAGTTTTTGTACCCTTTATTCCATTTTTTTACTTTTAATAAAAATAAATGTATTGAATGATATTTTTTAATAAAAAGATTAATTCATAATTTATTTGTTTTTTTTTTCATCATGTAAGAAGTTATTAATATTAATTAGGTTAAAATTCAAATATAATTCCTATATTTTCATTAACAATTCTGCAATTACATGGGCAGGTAAGTGTTGTTAAATAAATTAATACTGAATAAAAAGTGGATAGTTTAGGAAAAAAATGATAAAATATAATATAATAGCTAATAAAAATTGACAAATATTTATAATCATTGATTTATCGATAGTTCATCAACTATCTATACAGGGTGTTTCCGAACTTGGCGTCCAAATTTGTAGGGATGGTAGTTCGCATAATTTGAGAATGATCGGCAGATTTCATTTTTCTAAAAAAATTATAATATACAAAATAGAGCCATTATAAAAAAAATCAAAGAGCAGGTCCTACCCTGAGCGCGTAGCTGTTTATAATTTTTAATTCATTTTTAATTATTTTTATTTTAAATATTTTGGAAAAATGAAATCTGCGAATCGGTCTCAAATTATGCGAACTACCACCCCTACAAATTTGGACGCCAAGTTCGGAAACACTCTGTATATGGCGCGTTTTCGACCGGAGGCACCGGTTGACCAGAAGTCATGCTGTGACTGCGCGCTCTCCTCCCTCTATCTCGAAAATGGTTCACCGTATGAAAAATTTTTTTAAACAAAATTTGTAGAGAATTTTGTATTCTACAATATTGATAATAAATACAAATAGCAAAAACCCATAGGAAATGAGATATTTACAAAAAAAAGCGCAAAAAACCGATTTTTGTGACCTTTGACCTTGAAATTTAATAGTTGCGTACACCCTACCATATGTAGGTTTTGAGACAATTTTTAGGGTGTCAATATACAAGTATTTACAGACTTACAGCTGGGTATCTCGAATTCCGAGGTGAACTTACTATAATGACTGGACTATACCCTACGTGACAGCAAAAAGATCAACTTGTCATTATTAGTTTGATCTTGCTGAAATGATCGAATAACCGTTAGTCAATGGTCGAATAACCCATAATCATTCTGCAATTGCGCAGTTTATTCTTTTACCGTATAGCCCTTATACAGTAACATACTTATAGTTATTCGAGAGAAACATACACATCGATTAACCACAAGTAAACGATTAAATAGCACCAAGCTAGTGATAAAATATCCAAATAAATAGTAGTATAACCGAGTATAGACCGAGTATAGACGATCTAATAACGTCAATTTTACAAATAATTCGTCAAACAACAACTAGCTGGTTATATAATATGCGTAATAAAATAGAGAAATAGCAACAGGTAGATGCTCTCATAACCTTAGCTAGAAAATTAAATAATCACAGACAAGTGCTCAAATAACCTTAGGTAGAAAATAAAGTAGCAACGAATAGGTTATCAAATAATTTTTTCCATATATGAAGAGGGGTAGTGTGAGGGGGGGACAATAGGTTATATCAAATAAAACAAAAATAAGAACAAACTTTTTATTTTAAGGAACAAAAACAAAACAATTCGGAATGCATGATTCATATAAGCAACAAATTTGGTCAATTATAAAAACCAGATGATCCAGATAAGTGTTCTTTTATTTTAACGAAAAACCGTTTATTAACCTTATACATTTTTTGATTGGTTTCAAGAGGCAAATCTTTTAGGCTTATTTATTTTCAACATCCGTAAATTTGGGTTACCTACCTAAAATGCATGATTATCCATATTTAATTTTAACCTAAAAATTACAGAATTTACAGTTGTCGAACCATTATTCAACTAAAAGAATTTTCATGAATAAGTAGGTAGGATAGCTTACCAACTACAATAATTATATTTAGAATTATAGAGTTAAAATAAAATAAAAAAAAAGGCACATGAATCAACTTTTATTTTTAATCTGAACATCTTGGCCTATATGTTGGAAAGTAACAAAGACATTTTATTATTAATATTAAAAATTTCTAACAAGTAAAACAAAACATAACTGTTATTGCAAATTACGAACTATAAATGAAAAATGAAAGTGCTTGTGCATTTAAGCTGATTGTTTCAGATAAAATGGAATTCGATTTAATAACTACTAATTTTTTCTTACCTTCAAATATTCACCAAATCCCCATTTCCTCAGGATAGAGTTAATATCCATATCCAGTTTTTTCTACTTTTTCTCTATTTAAAAGACAAAAGCAATAAGAAATAAATCAAAATCAAAAAGCTTCTGAAACTGAAACAAACAACAAAAAACCATGGAGGAATATACTAAATAAATATAACCAACTTTGGCGTCTCGTCTTATCTCTATTTGTCTATACATCAAGGCCATAACTCTGTCTCTTTTCCTTCTTGGCCGGAAACGTCAGAATTTCCAACGTTGCCGGTTGTAAAATTTGCAAAGTAACTAATAAAGTGTAGTAAAAAATAAATTGCAATAGAAAAATACAATTTTTTACATCAAATTACCTATGAAATACGAACATACTTTTCTGTGTTAGGCTACATGGGAGCAATTTAGTAACCATAATACAGGTAGTAGTAGTATTGTAGTAGGACTTCTCGTGGAGATTATTTGCTGTCGATGGGTTTATATGTCTTTTTAAAATT